CGGGTGCTGGTCCCGGTACTCCGGCATCCCCTGTTTAGCCTGCCGCAGCGCGTCATTGTTCTTGTTGGCCGCCTGTGTCAGGTCAGACACCTGGGGAGAGACCAGGGTCAGTGGGCACGGCTACCGGGACAGCTGGGATGTGCTGCAGCGGGGCCAGCCTGGAGCCCACCGCCTCCCACACCTTGGACTTATACCACTCCTCGGCCTCGGCGATGTTCTTGGCAGCAATGCTCTCGTACTGAGCGCGGATGTCCCTCAGCGCAGCTGTGAGGTCGGGCTTGGAGATGTCCATCTCCACCTGGATGTGTTGCTCCTGCAGCTGAGCCTGCAGCTCCCGGATTTCCTGGGGGGACAAGGTGACACCTCAGGGCACCCGCTCTGTTCCTGGCCCCACAGGTGCCTGTGGGAAAGGGGGCTGCCTCTGACCTACCTCTTCGTGCACTTTCTTGAGGAAGGCGATCTCCTCCTGCAGGGACTCGATGCGTCTTTCCAAGTCGATGCGTGCCAGCGTGGCTGCGTCCACGTCCTGGGAGAACATGGAAAGGAAGGATCATCAGGGGGGTGCAGGGGGAGCATGGGTACCATGCACCAGGGCTGCAGGGTGCAAAGCTGTGCCCAGGGCCATGCCCTGGTGCTGAGACTGGGCTGCTGGGAGGGAAGGTGGGGGTCCCATGCCACACGGGGTGTGTGGGTACTCACGGCTCTGAAAGCAGCCAGGTTGTTCTCAGCCTCCTCCTTCAGCTGGATCTCTTCTTGCAGCCTGGTGGCAAAGAGGGGAGGTCAGGGGTACCCAGAGGGAGCCCTGTCCCCTGGTGGTTATAGCCCCCTGAGCTGTCCCCAAGCCCAGTGAGGCCCAGTGGAGAGACATCAGATTGTCCTGCACTCCCAGTGGGCAGCGGCAGGGCTGGCAAGGGGCCAGGGGCTCTTCCTCCCATTCCCTATTATAGTCAACGCCGGAGAGAGCACAAAGGCATGAGGTCAGCTTGGTGCCACGCGCGCTGCC